GCAATAAATTCTGACATTTAATATAAATTATAATTGTATTACATATTGATATGAATTAGTGGCCGGAATGGTGGCGCGCAATGTTGCCGGACCTGCAGTGATATTCTCGTTCACAATCGCTGCGATCGCGAGTCTCTTTTCAGGTTTATTAAGTTTATATAGAATTTTCCAAATTGTGTTTAAAACTAAACAATTTTGTGCATTTCATTAATTTCTCTCATGTTTTTCAGGTGTTTGTTATGCAGAGTTTGGAGTTAGGGTTCCGCACACTACTGGTGAGGCTCTTTTAAATGTTAATTAAGTTTTATACAAATATTGTTTTAATAAATTGCTATAGAATTGACATTAGTTTTTGATAATTAATGTAAATTAATTATACAATAGGTTCTGCGTATATGTATAGCTATGTAACGGTGGGAGAGTTTATTGCATTTGTTATCGGCTGGAATATGTGAGTGCATAAGACTATTCGTTCATCGGTTTACTAAATAATGTTTAAATACAGGGTTTTAGAGTATTTGATCGGAACGGCCGCCGGTTCTGCGGCCATATCTGCTTGTATTGACGCGCTCTATGGCGGAGCAATACATCACACTATGAAACAAACATTTGGCACATTTGTTGGCCACACGCCAGACCTGATGGCTGCTGTTATCACTATTTTAATGACAATATTATTGGCTACTGGCGTGAAAAAGTCGCTTATGTTTAATAACGTGCTAAATTTAGTAAATTTTGGCGTTTGGATTATAATAGTGTGTTCGTCAGTGTTTTACATTGATTTTGACAACTGGACAGAGCATGGTGGCTTTGCCCCATTCGGCTGGTCAGGCATGTTGAACGGCGCCGCCACCTGTTTCTATGCTTTCATTGGTTTCGATATAATCGCAACGACAGGTCTTTTTTTCATTCATCTTATTTATGGATTCAGTCTTTTGTAAAAAAAACTTATCATTTTTAGGAGAGGAAGCAGAAAACCCTCAGCGCTCGATACCAACTGCCATAATCACTAGTTTGGTTATAGCACTCACCGCTTATACCACTTCTGGTGAGTCTTATTTGTTTT